CCCCCCCCCCCCCCCCGAAGAAGCAATGGAAAAAATATCCTCAGGTGAGGATTAAAAAAAACACGAAGTTTCTCTGCACAGAAGGGGTAACGGTGAGCAGGGCCTGAAGGGGGAGTGAGAGCAGGACTTGCCGCTGTAGGGGATGGAGATGGAGTGGAAGGTCAGTGTCCCTGCAGTCCCATACCACCTGCAGTGCAGAAACTAGCAGGACAAGGCAGGGCACCCAGGTGAGAGGGGCTGAGAAATGGGCCCCAGATGAAGAATGACAAGAAAGAGGGCAAGGGGAGTGGGCAGGGGTGTATCGGAGGGGAAGCTGGCAACCCGAGTGACTGTGCTTAGGGCCATGGGCTGCAGAGCTGCTGGCTTCCTGCTCCATGGTCATGAGGCCTTGGTGAATTTTTACTCAAGTTCCTCTTTTTTAAAAATTTATTTTTTAATTATAGTTGACATACAATATTAGGTTCAGGTGTACAACATAGTGATTCGACATTCATGTACCTTGTGAAACCCTATGTAAATCTAATACCCATCTGACACCATACCCAGTTATTTGGATATTACTGACTGGATTCCCTATGCTGTACTTTTCATTCAAGTGTTTGCTTTTATGTTGTTGTTTAATCCTCGACACAGGATGTGTTTATTGATTTTAGAGAGGGGAAGGGAGAGGGAGAGAGAAACATCGATCAGTTGCCTCCCCTGTGGACCCGGACCTGGGATCAAACCCACAACCCAGCTATGTTCCCTGACCAGGATTGGAACTCACAGCCTATGGGTGCATGGAATGACACTCCAACCAACTGAGCCACACCGGCCAGGGTCCACTTGATTATTTGTATAATGGGGAGTTTGTTTTTTAATGCCTTTGACCTTTTCACCCGTGCCCACACCCATCTGACAACCATCAGTTTATTCTCCATATCTATGAGTTTCTGTTTTATTTGTTTTGTTTTTTAGATTCCACATGTAAGTGAAGTTACACGGTGTTTGTCTTTCTCTGACTTAGTTCACTTAGCATAATACATTCTAGGTCCATCCATGCTACTGCGAATGGTACAATTTCAGTCATTATGGCCAAGTAATATTCCATTGTGTGTGTGTGTACATACTACAATTCTTTTATCTTCTCATCTATTGATGGGCACTTGGGTTGCTTCCGTATCTTAACTATTGTAAATCTGCAGTGATCATGTTGAGCCACATGAATTCTTTATATATAGGATATTAATGCCTTATCAGATATATCCTTTCCAAATATCTTCAACCATTCAGTAAGTTGCCTTTTTGTTTTGTTGATGGTTTCCTTTACAGCACAAAAGCTTTATAGTTTAACGTAGTTCCATTTGTTTATTTTTGCTTCTTGTTTCCCTTGCCCTAGGACCCATATCTAAAAATTATTGGTAGGACCTGGCCAGGTGGCTCAGTTGGTTGGAGCGTTGTTCCCGTACACCAAAGTGTTGCTGGTTTGACCCCCAGTCGGGGTATATACAGGAGGCAGTTGATCAGTTTCTCTCACGTAGATGCCTCAGTGTCTCTGTCTCTCTCCCCACTCTCCCTCTCCCTCCTAAATTTCCCCTCTCTCTAAGATCAATGAACATATCCTCAGGTGAGGATTAAAAGAAAAATTAAAGTAAATAAATAAAAATTATTGGTAAGAACAATGTCAAAAAGTTTATTGCCTGTGTTTTCTTCTAGAAGTTCTATGGTCTTGGGTCTTACATTTAAGTCTTTATTCCAGTTTGAATTTATTTTTGCATATGGAGTTAGAAAGTGGGTCTAGTTTCATTTTTTTGCCTCTATCTGTCCTGTTTTTCCCGTCACCATTTGTTGAAGAGACTGTCTTCACCATATTTTATATTCTTGCCTCGTTTGTCAGATTGACCATGTAAGTGAGGTTTTACTTCTGGGCTCTCTTTTCTGTTATTCTGCCCCAGGCAGTGCTGCAGCATTGTGATACCTCCAGGATGTCTTGAGGGAGGGTACATGTGGGCGACACCCCCCGTTCAGAGTGTTCTTTGCTGTGTTGGGGATTCTTATAGCCTCCTTGTAATCATTCCCCACCCCATTTTTGGAAACTGATGTTTCATTGTTATATATTTAAGTGGTGCAATTTTTTTTTGAAACCAGGTCATATTTCACTGTTGTTTGAGAATTGTACAAGTTTGTTTTTTGCGTGTGTGGGTTTTTTTTTTACAAACCAGTTAATGTTTCATTGGAATATTTTTAAATTATACAATTGTTTTGACACCCTGCATTTACCAGCCCCATTCATTCTCTTGAAATGACAGGAAAAACTGGCCCCTCTGTGTGTTGAGGGAAAAGTGTGTATCTGTGGGCTCACAATTCAGACAACCTAGCCCATGCCTAGGCATTTACCTTGAGCCTGGGGGCAGCCCAGTTCCATCCCCAGCCCAGACCTGAGCAGGCTGAGCCCACTTCATCACTGGAAACCTCAGAGCCCTGCCTCTCTGCTCCTCACACTCCAAAGGAATGTCCCTCAGCAGTTACATTCCTCTCCTTTTTGGGGGTTGGGATGGACTTGAGGGTGTGGGGGTACTGAATTCCTAATTGTGCCCCACCACCAGCACGGCCTCCTGAGGATAGCTGCCCTCTCCATGACAGCTTCTCATCTGAGGAGGAAATGGATGTGCATTCTCAGCCAGTCCGATCCCAGGTGAGTTAGAGACCTTTGTTCTCTTTTCCTCTCAGTCTCCTCAGCTGTAAAATGGGCCCAGGAATAGCACTCGCCTCCTCAGGCTGGCACACACAACAGCTCCATGGTGCTGCCTTGTATACCTTTGGGTGAGACCCAGGGACTCCCTGCAGGTACAGCACCTTCCCTATGTAAATGAACCAGGGGCTCCTAGGGGCTCCTGCACCTGGTTCCCTGGGCCACATCTCTTCCCCTCATATCTTGTGAGACTACCTGAGGTGGGTTGCTGTCTTCATGGTCACATTAGGGCAGCTCACACCTGAGAAGTTCAAGTAGCTGAGTTCAGCTATTAAGGTGTGAAGCTGAGATGCCAAGTCAGGCCTGGTACCCAGGGCACATGGTCCCTCGCCTGCCCGCCTTCCTTGAGAGCCAGCTCTGCCAGTGTTTTCTGTAAAGGACCAGGTGGTAGAAACTGTCTTAGGCTCCGTGGTCTACGTACAGTCTGTCCCATAGCCTTTTTGTACACGGCTCTTTAAGAAACATAAAACCTATTCTTAGCTGTATTAGTCTGCTCAAGATGCTCTAACAAAATACTACAAACTGTGTGGCTTGAACATTTACTTTCTCATTGTTCTGGAGCCTAAAAGTCTGAGATCAAGGTCCCACCAGGGTTGTTTTCTGGTGAGGACTTTATTGCTGGCTTGCAGGTAGTTTCTTCCCTGTGTTCTGACATGGTGGAGAAAGAAGCCTCTGGTGTCTTCTTGTATTATAAGGACACCAATCCCACTGCAGTATGGCCCTGTCCTTATGACCCCCATTAACCTATATTTTTGTAAAGGCCCTCTCCCCAAATACAGTCACATTGGGAGGTAGGGATACAACATGTGAATTTGTGGGGAGAAACAGTTTAGCTCATGGCATTAGCCTTCTAAAAACACACCACAGTGTGATTTCTCCCTGGGCTGTATTTTGCTCACCCCTAATTTAGAATACCCTCTTTGACTGGCTTCAAGTCTAATTTTGACCCTAGCCAGTTTTGCTCAGTGGTTAGAGCATTGGCCTGTGGACTGAAGGGTCCCAGGTTCGATTCTGATGAAGGGCATTTACCTCAGTTGCAGGCTCGATCCCCAGCCCTGGTTGGGGCTCATGTAGGAGGCAACCAATCTATGTGTCTCTCTCACATTGATGTTTCTCTCTCCTCTCCCTTCCACTCTCTACAAATCAATGGAAAAAATATCCTCAGCTGAGGATTAAAAAATAAGTTTAAAAAAAAAACCCTATGATTTTGTAAAGAAGCAGTGGGTGGGGATCTCTGCGGGATTCCTGTTTCCCAAGACAGAAAATCAGGATCACTGGTGTGATCAGCGATAGACGGAGGCACTCAAGTGAAAATGCCATGGACTGGGTCAGTGTCTGATCAGAGCACCACCCAAAGGCAGGAACTCCATGGGTGCTCTGGACATTATCTCCAGTATACACTATCTCCCACCCTCTGCTACCATGCCCTCCCAACCTCCACATCGGGGAGGCAGGGCCCCATGGTAACATGGGTGATATTTCAGCCACCTGTGAGCTTCAAGGATGTGGTTGTGAGCTTCACGCGTGAGGAGTGGGGACGGCTGGACCCAGTCCAGAGGACACTGTACCGAGATGTGACTCTGGAGACGTGCAGCCACCTCGTCTCCCTGGGTAAGGTGGGGCTCTTTCCGAGGGTGTGCTTGTGCTGGGATGAAGCATCCCTGAAGTGGGTCCCTTTGAGATGTAGATCCCAGGTATTGCTGCTCAGTCAGCCTCCACTGCATGTTTGTGACTTGTTTCCCCGGAATGGCTCTGGGGCCCTCCTAGTACATTCGTGTCTGACCCCAGGGGTGGAGCATCAAGTCCTATGTTTTTCCCCATTGACCAGGGCTCCTGCTCCCCAATGTGGATGTGATCTCCTGCCTGGAGCAAGGTGACAGCCCATGGAGGGCGGAGCAGGAACCTCCTCCCCAAGGTGAGAGCCTTCGGTTAACCTGAGCAGAGACCTCACTGGGTCAGAGGAGGGGGGATGCCATTTGTGGAGAGCTTCCTCAGGCATTCTCTGCTGCCTCCTCATGGCCAGCAAGGCAGCCCAGGGAGAACACTTGCCACTGTTGTCTGCACATTTCTTAGGCGTGGGTTTACTTCTGTTCCCATCTTCCCTTTGGTCCTTACCGCTCAGCCACCCTGTCTTATTCCCAGGTTCTCCTGACCCCTCTTCTCCATGAGCCCCTCGTCATAGCTTCCACTTGGGGAAGGAGCTCCTCAGGCCTCCCTTTAGCTCTGCTCTTTGCCCCACAGTTGGGTATCCACCCCTCCTTTGTGCTGGACATTCCCGTGACTTGTAGATGATCCTGCAGTATGGTGAGAACTTGGGAAGTGTCAGCCACCTGTTCCTTCCAGAAGGATTCCTACTATATCTCCATCCCTGGACCTGCTGTCCCATGTCTTCTCATCCCATAGACCAACCTCCTTGTATGTCCCAGTGTGTCAGCCTAATTGGAATTTTTTTCAACAGCTGTATCAGATACAATTAACCCGTTTAAAGTATGTAAAGGCTTGTAGTGTAGTCACATCACCAGAATTAATTTTAGAACGTGTTCATCACTCCAATTAATTGGGCTAGTTTTAACAGTCTTTTTGTTTTAATTAACACTTTTATGTTTATGCGTAGAATATTTTAAAATTTTTATTTTAAAATTTTTATTTGTTGATTTTTAAATTATTAATGATTTTAGAGAGAGGAAAGGAGAGAGAGAGAGAAACATCAATCGGTTGCCTCTGTATGCACCCTGATCTGGAGTTGAACCTGCAACCTGGTTATATCCCTGACAGGGAATCAGACCCACCAGCTTTTGCTGTATGGAACAATGCTCCAACCAACTGAGTCACACCAGCCATGGCTTTGTTTATTGATTTTTAGAAAGAGAGGATGCCCTGGCTGGCGTGGCTCGACCTGTAACACAACTGCAAACACTATTTTTAAAGTAAGGTACCATAGTCATAGTTCCCAGCAACTGGACATGTGTTATCTTTTGTGCTTATTGAGGACCATGTATCTTCAGACTCAATTATTTCTGTGCATTTCTCCTTTAACCTTTATGCTCTTATGCTTATTTCCCTGCTCACTCTGGGAAACAGCTCTCCTGAACCAACTCTCCATTACCTTTGCTTGTTTTTTTTGTACTTCATCACTGATTTCCTATTTGCTGATCCATCTCACTCTTTTACATCCTGCATGAAATTATAGTCCATGGACTCAAAACAAACCCAGAGACACCTCTCATACTTGGTGTTTTCCTTCATCTCCCTTCCACCTTTAAAGCTTCTGCAGTAATTCAGGCATTTTGGATTTCTTTCAGACTGGAACACTACACTTGAAAAGAAAGAATCGGCTTCTGAGGATGATATTGCTATGAAAGAACCATTCTTCCATATGGAAATGAAACACTGTGTAGAGGAGAGCCCCTGGTCTGTGTTGGTAGGAGAAGTGCAGGATTGGAGGAACCAGCCAGTGGAGCACCAGGAGGAATCTTTGAGTCAAATTGTATTTATCTCAAAGGAAAGAGTGTTTATTCAAGAGGAAAGTTGTGAGCCTGACCTTGGGGGAAGTTATTTGAGTGTAAGCCTTCTAACTCCAACATTACCAGCAGGAACACATTTGCACAAGCTCAACTCACAAGTTAAAAATTTGAAACATAATTCAGTTTTCTTTAATCATCAGAAAGGCTGGGGCAATCTGAAACCCTGTGAAAATCTTGAAAGTGCAAGGGCCTTCTCTCAGAGCATTTACTTGAATAAACTTGCAAATAATGAAACAGGAAATCAAAAGCCTTGTGACTATACTGTCAAGAGTGACTCTTTCAACTATGGTACCGCTGTTCGTTTCCATAATAGAATTTTTTCGGCAGAGAACGGCAATGATTGTAAGGACTATGGAAATGCTGTTAACCACAGCATGTCTTTGAATGAAAACAAGCCAATGCATTTTGGAGAAAGTCAGTATGACTGTGACGAATGCTTTGTACAACCTGAAATCATTGTTGGTGATCCTGGATGTCAGGAGGACTGTGATGCCTTCTGCATGACCTCATCTGTTACTGACTGTGACATCATCCAGACCAGAAAGAAGCCACGTGCATGTAATCTATGTGGGAAATGTGTCAGCTGTTCTATGCTTGTACACGAGAGAACACACAATGGAGAGAAGCCATATAAATGCAATCATTGTGGAAAAACTTTCAAATGGAGATATCTCCTCATTGTGCATCAAAGAACACACACTGGAGAGAAGCCTTATCAGTGTAACATGTGTGTTAAAGCCTTTAGTGGTCGGTCAGCTCTTAGAAAACATGAGAGAACACACACGGGTGAGAAACACTATGAATGTAATGACTGTGGAAAGTTCTTTAACAGGCAGAGTCACCTTACTAGGCATCAGAGAATTCATACTGGAGGGAAACCTTATTTGTGTATTCATTGTGGAAATGCCTTCAGCCGTAGCTCTGACTTTGTTGCACATAAAAGGATTCACAGTGGAGAGAAACCCTACGAATGTAACCACTGTGGGAAATCTTTTTGGGAGCGAGCACAGCTTCTTGTGCATCTGCGAACTCATACTGGAGAGAAGAAATTTTATGAATGCAGTCATTGTGGAAAAAGTTTCAAATGGAGATCTCACCTCATTCTGCATCAGAGAACACACACTGGAGAGAAGCCGTATGAGTGTATTGACTGCGGGAAAGCCTTCAGTGATGGGTCATCTCTTAGAAAGCACGAGAGAACACACACTGGTGAGAAACCCTACCACTGCAACCACTGTGGGAAATCTTTTCGGCAGCAATCACAGCTTGTTGTACATCAGCGAACCCATACAGGAGAGAAACCTTATGAATGCAATCATTGTGGAAAAGCTTTCAGCCAGAGATCCATCCTCACTGTTCATCAGAGAACACACACTGGAGAGAAGCCCTATAAGTGTAAAATTTGTGTTAAAGCCTTCAGCCAGAGATATCTCCTTATTGTGCATCAGAGGACACACACTGGAGAGAAGCCCTATCAGTGTACCATGTGTGTTAAAGCCTTCAGTGGTCGATTAGCTCTTAGAAAACACGAGAAAACACACATGGTCCAGAAACCCTATGAATGAATGTAAGCATTGTGAAAAAGGCCTTTAGCAGGCAGAGTCACCTTACTAGGCATCACAGAATTTACACTGGAGAGAAACCATATTTGTGTGCTCATGATAAAAGTCCTCCTGCCATGACATTTTTGTTGCACATGAAAGGATTCACTCTAGAGAGAAACCTTACGAATGTACCCACTGTGGGAAATCTTTTTAGCGGTGATCACAGCTTGTGCATCTGCAAATTCACACTGAGTGAAGAAACCTTATGAATACAGTCAGCGTGCAAAAGGTTTCAAATGGAGATCTTGTTATGCATCAGAGAACACTGTAATAAAACCCTGTAAGTGTAATCTTTGTTACAAGGCCTTTATCTGGTGGTGGACTTACTAGGCATCAGGGAATTCACACTAGAGAGAAACCCTATAAATGTAATGAATGTGGGAAGGCTTTCAATTATAATAAATCCCTTATTGAAGATGAGGAAACTCATGGAAGAAAAACTCTATCAATAATTAAGATGAGAAAGCTCACTGCCAGAACTTTTCTAGACATCAGATGACCACATGCATCAGAATTGCTGGAAGCATACATTTAAACAATCAAGTTTAATAAAATGTTTCCCCTATAACACATTCCTAGAAATGATCGGGGACTGGAAGATGAGTTTCCCAAAAAGGCTAAAGTGTACATCAACAATGTTAAAGTGGGCAAAGCCATTATGCAGATTTGAGCAAAGTGAAAGCAGGTGGGAGAGCATCACCTGGAGATGCAGAGTGGGAAAGGCTCAAGTCAGGACTATGAAGAGGGCTGCAGCTCTCGAGGTCACAGCCCCTTGGCAGAGTTGCAGATTCATATATGGGGCAGGAAAGCAGTGTTAATTGAAGGTCTATTAATGAAGTTCTGACTCCTCCCCCTTTCTTTTCTTGTCTCCTTGTTTTACATTAAGTATCTGGCTGTGGATGAGCAAAATAAAATAGTGAATGAGTGAGGTACAAAAAAAAAAGTTAGTCTCAGGACTAGGTAATTGGTTTATTATGCTCCAGAACAAGGGCTGCCTTTTATTAGCATTTCAGGGACCATCCTAACACCTGCTTCCAGCCCTATTCCCTTCAAAGCAAAGCATGCCATTAAAGCAGATCCCCCCACATCTATGGCGGCTCCCATCTACCTTCTGGTAACCTCTTCAAGATAGATAGAAGCAGGGAGCAAGAGACTTTGAGGCCTTCAACACTAAAGGAAAATCTTTTTCAAAATGTTTTTATTGATTTCACAGAGGGGGGGGAGAGAGAGAGAGAGAGACACGTCAGTGATGAGACAGTCATCAATTGGCTGCCTCCTGCTGAGGATCAAGCCTGAAACCTGCGCATGTGCCTGGGCCAGGAATCAAACTGGTGACCTCCTGGTTCATAAGGTGACACTCAAGCACTGAGCCACGCCAGCCAGGCAAAAAACATTTAAATAAAACCCAAGGAGAACAGATACTCAGAGGAACCAAACATTTAAAATGGCGATTCAGTCAAGAAATAATTTGCAAGTGAAAAATAAGTCCAAGATACTCTTAAAAAGACAAATATGAGAACAAGTATGGACTATGAAATTAAAAGTAAGATTTGCTAAAAAACGACGAAAAGGAAACCTGCAGAGCTGAAAGACAATCTTAAGATCATGCCAACTGCTGTCCAGGATTAGTGCGATCCATGCATCATGAGAAATAAGAGAACACCACAGTCAAAAAGACATTGGAAACTTGTAGAGAATAATTTTGAAACTATTAGAAAAAGGGTTTTTTTGTATGTTTGTTTAGAACAGGAATGTTCTAACTAGAGGGAAAGAAAAGGTAATCAGGGACTTCCGAGTAAATCAATTGATAAAGAAATTACAAATATTGTGCAAGACAGTCGTAGTCCAGATGTGAACCTAACTTTAGAATGGAGTATTCATTTGACTGGTGTTAACATGTCTTCCTGGAAAGGGCAGAGGACTCATGAGATTGGAATAAAAGAGGGAGAAATACATTGTTTTGCTTGGCCCTTCACTAAATACTATTTTTATAGCTATAATATAAACAGTAGGTACTGGCTTTTTATATTTTACAAAGAAACCCAGAGCTGTAACATGATTTCATAATGGCAAAGTTGGGGGTGGGGGGAGTATCTCTGTGCCCTCATCTTAGGCAGTGAACCTAAGTTTAATTAGGGTACCAAAATTACAACTCTAAACAGTGATAGGGCAAAAACTGGAAGCAAGTAGAGGATCACAGGTGTAAGTAAGTTCTTAATTCCTTATAGAAGGAAGTCTATAGGCCATGAAATGTAATTATAGACGTAGCCTCAGGAGGAACTGGAATAGAAACGGTTAAAATTGGCAGGTGGGATGTGTGACTGTTGGGTAGGGTGAGGCAGGAGGCAGCTGCTTTCCATTTTAAGCCTTTAGTCTTGTTCGATGACACATTTCTTATTTGAGTAATTTCAAATGTGTACTTATAGGTGAGCAAAACAGTACATGAGGACATTTGCAATTGACTTGTGGGATTGTGTACAATTTTCCTTCTTTCGATTCAGTATTGCTGTAAAAAAGTAAATTGGCAATTCAGACAGGAAGAGTGAGAAGGAAATATGTCAGATTTTCTATTTGGCTAGTTAGAGTTTGTTCCAGTAGGGCAGGAAGCCTCCTTGGCTTCTTAGAAGTCCCTGGAATTAAAGATGGGTTAGTCTTTTTATTACTTGATATTGCAGAAGCTTTATCACCAGAAAGTCACTGGGGGCCTGGAGAGGGGTTTGGTGTCCTGGGACAACCTTGCGAGATCCCTCTGAATGGGCAAGACAGGTGTGTGAGTTTACAAAGCCCCCAAGTATTTCCCCAAGGTCTCAAGCAGTTACCTGGTACCTTTCATAAAACCCTTTAGTTAGCATAGCCCTCAGGATTCATAGGAACCTGGATGTTGAGATGGGCAGTCTGAACAGAGCTGGTGGGGACTTTGCCTCCTGGTAGGACAGTTGGTCCCACTACTGAGACCAACACAGTTGTGCAGCTTTCAGAAGGTGGGGCCTGGGAGGCAGGACCTGCCCAATAGAGTCAGCAAAGTGAACACTGTTTGACATTCTTGTCCAGACATCCGAGTTCCATTCAGTAATTCCTGAAAGTAGCTTTGTTCAATGAAGGTGCTACTGGAGGTCCAAGTACGGAAGGTGTGTGTGATGTCACGGTACTAGTCACATTTCTTTCCAAAATGGGGAGTCCACACGGGCTGTGTGGTTACGTGCTTCTGGAGACAATACCCAGTGGGAATCACACACAGGAAGACATTCACGTGCAGGAAATGGGAGGACACTATGTGTATGCAGTGAGTGTATCAGGCCCTGCTCTAAGGTACTGTGCCCATCAGCAAAACAGGCTCTCAAGGACCCAAGAGCTGGACCTTTTATATATATATA